TCTGAATCTCAAGTGGCTTCAAAGACAAAAATGTGTCTCAAAAGGACTCTGGCAAGGGAGGAAAAAGTCAGGTTTAAAGTTGAATATATACATATATACTCTGCTCTTACACTGCCGTTGCTCTTGTGTGTATCTTTTAATATCGCATAATAGTAATTCATGTGAATATTTTTCTAGTGAAACTAGTTTATTCTAGTACAGGAACTCTGTATTGAATAATAATATTAATAAAATGAGTGATCTTTACATGCAATATAATGTGTATGTGCAGTAGAACTGTAATAATTCTACATAATAAAACTGAAGGAGGAGAAGAAAAATAAAATAAAATGAGTGATCTAACTAATGTGGGTGGTCCCTCAAACAAAAATTTCCAAATGGGACTCCTTATCATTTAATTGCAAAACGAACAGCTAATACTTGATGGTATTTATGCTTGGGAAGAGGGGAAAAAGAAATAATTTTGTACTTTCCCCATTTTATAAATTAGAGCCTCTTGAGTAATTAGCAGTTAATAAGTGAATGCTTCCCACAAGTTTAAAGGCTGTGGCTGATGGGTATATGATTAAGTGTATTATCATGTATAGGGTTTTATATAGCTTCGGAATCCTTGCGGATATTCTGTAAACATCCTTGGTTAGATGAGCAGAACTTTAAATAAGCGAGTAGGGGGCTATAGTAGGTTAATCTCTTGGTGTTCATTAGTGTTGAAACCCATTGTCCTGTGAGTTTTGCAATGTCTGGGAGGAATACCTAGTAACAGCTATAATAATAACAACAATAATAAACATAAGTTGCTAATGTTTATTGGGTACTTACCATGTGCCAAGAACTAAGCTAAGATCATTACATACGTTATTTTATTAAACCCTCACTACAATGTTAGCTTGTAGGTGCTATTCTCCAAATTTACAAAAAAAGGCAAGAGATTAGGAAACTTGCTTAAAGTCACACAGTTGATAAGTGCCAGAACTAGAAATCAAATCCAGGTCGGTCTGACTCCAGAGCCCATGTTCTTAACCATTGCAATAAATTGCTATGTTGTTTTAATCTGTAGAATCAGTATGTAGCAATAATAATATTATCGTTAATATGTTACCTTTTGTATATATCAAATGTTTTCTTTTTTAATGTATTTTTAATATTTATTTTTATTGAAGTATAATTGACATATAACATTATATTAGTTTCAGGTATACAACATAGTGATCCGATATCTGAATATATTGCAAAATGATCACCACAGTAAGTTTAGTTAACGTCTGTCATCAAATGTTTTCTAAAGAAGTAGTTTATTATTAGACGTATTCTTAGTGTCATATCCATTGTATGGCAAAAGTGACTGTGGTGTAGACTAAATGATCAGCAGGAGGTGATTCAACAGAACCAAGAAGTTTCTGATCCACAATTGTTTTCACTCACAAGGTTCATATAAAGATCATATAGTGTTTACTTATATTTCACTTAGACTTTTCATTGCAGCACATTGAAGTTATAAGTGCTTATCTCAGGCAGTGATGAACAATAGAGCCTATTGGTTCACGTTAGAAAACTTAATCCAGGTCTTGTGGAAATCACGGAAAAGCAGAAGAGGAAAAGCCAATCTGAAATGTTTTTCCTTTTCCAAGAGGGCAGCTAAGGTGCCTAGATATCTTTGCCCTCCGGGGGTGCAGGTGTGCAGTTTTTATTCTTTAATTATTCACATAAATTAAAGCCTATTCCTTTGCATTTTAAAAATAATATAAAATGACATTCTCCATGTTTTATTGCCAGACAAGAGCTTTGAACTTCTGTCTCATTGAAGTTTGATAAAGTGCAAGAATTTTCCAGGGTTGGGTGGTGCCCTTAACCACAGAGGGAACACAGACTGATAAGAGCTGCACGTATAGGAAACCACCAGGGAGTAGCAATTACAGAGAGCTCTTGGTACTTGGCTTGTGTGAAATTCTCTGCGGGGAGGAACTTCTCCTTACCTCTCCTGACTCTTAGCTCCTTCCCTTCACCCACAGATGAAAAGAGCACCAGGGCTTTCTGTTTCTACTTTGTGAACTAGGACCAGGTGGGGTGAATACTTTGTGGTGGCGTAGTTCTTTGTAAGAAACTTTGAAATTTACGGACAAGTTCTAACTTCACACAAATGCTAACTGGCATGCACACCTATGCAGGTGGGGACAGGACACACTAGGGACAGGACACAAATACACACATGTGAATTCACATGGCCACAAATGGACCACATCTCTCAGATGATTTTACTGTCAACATACACCCCTGCTTTTGTGCTCTGTGTCAAAGGAAGATGATATTTATTTCTAAAACCAATTATAGGGTGTCAGTGATGAGCCAGAGTAGTATATAGTGCTACGAGCATGGGTTCTTGGTAGGAGACACACCTTGGTTTGAGTCTTGGCTTCTCTTCTTACTCGTTGTGTGATCTTGAGTAGGTTACCTTAATTCTGTAAGTCTCAGTTCTCCCATTTGTAAAATGGAAACATGGGGTCAAAATAACCTTTCATAGCATTGGTGTGAAGACAAATAAAATAATGCAGTAAAACACTTAGCACAGTCTTTTGCACATTGTTGCTTAAAGTCACACAGTCACTGTAAGTTGCACTGCTGCTCAAAATTGGTAGAGCTTTTATTAACATTATTATATGTAATATTAAACTCTAAACATCTGGTTGATAGATGAATGTTAAATAGGTGTAATCCTTTATTTTTATTTGTTTTTTCTTTCCCCCTCCCCTCCACCTTTTTTTTTTAATACAAGTCTGTTTTCCAGAAAGTTCCTCCTTTTTTTTTTGAGGAAGACAAAAGTACTTTGATTCTAACTGCTCTGAAAATATTTCTCCCTTAAAGGGCCTTCACACTGACTTTCAGTCCCTGGAGCTAGGGAGGGGAAGCAGCAGGATTTGCTTCTAAGTAGAGTTCTTTCATTTCTACCATCAAAAAACAACAAAAAAAGAAACCAAAACAAACACCTCTCCTGCAGCCTTGTAGTCTCCTTAGGTAGATCTAAGTCATAAAATCTTGTATAGCTCAAAGAAGGAATCTTTTTGTAAGATCAGGGTTAGTGGGTGGAAGAAGGGAAGGAAAAAAAACAGAGGTGAAAGTATAGCTGATTTTAATGTTAGTTTGGCCATTTTTTCTTCCCAATTTCAAATGTACTTAATTATAAAGCAATTAATACCGGAAATTGTCATGTATTATCTCACAGCTTCACTCTCAGTTTTGGCCATTTCATAGAGAAATAGTTTTCCAGTTGGATGAACTGTTGAGGAAGCACTGGTTTTGTCTTGACATCTTTTTGGGGGGTGGGGGTTGGGGAATGTTTGCTGTAGCTGATAGCTTTAGGAAGCACTCATATCGATAAAATAAGTCATGGAATGTAAACCTGTCATTCATCTGGACTTTAGGCTGGAGCAAACATGATGAAACTTTAGGTCACCATTGTCAAATACTCTCTTGAGTACAGCTTGAGTAGGTAAACTTATTTGCTTTATAAGTCTTACTAAACTACCAGGACTTCAGGAATGTGTTTTTGAGGAACTCATTTTTACAAATTTTAGGTAGTTCCTCCATATTTTCCTGAGGGATGAAACTATGAAAGAGGCAAATGTCCATCTTGGTAGCAACTTTGTAGAATTGCTTTTTTGGCAGGATATTCATTACTTTTTTGTTTTGTTTGTTTTTTCCTTTTTTTTATTTTTTTGGATGGTAAATGGAAACACTGAATTGGAAGTTTCTATGTGAAGTGTGCCAGGATACCATTGTTATACCCAAAGACGAAACTCAGGGAAGGGGAACAAGCATTTATTAGAAGCTCTGCTATTACTGAAGTAAACATCCAATAGCCCTTGAGGTAGGCTTTTAATAAAATATATTATCAAGCAAGCCAGGCATTGTGGTTTATGAATAGTAACAGTATTATTATCTGCACTTTACAGCGAGGAAATAGGCTTACAGAGTAATTTGCTCAAGGTTACACAGCTAGAAATTGGTAGGGCTGAGGATGGAACTCAAGCCCCTCAGAACTCTAAACACCAAGTTTTTAACCAGTGATTCTTAAACTTCAGGGTACATAAGAAACATCAAGAGTTCTTGTTAAAAATCACTGGGCTTCAATTAGAATTTTAAGGTCACTAAGTCTGAGATAATGTCAGATGATAAGTCTGCATTTTAACAAGGTATCTCAAGTGATTTAGATCAAGAAGTTGATTTTCTATGTTTTAAGAATTAAATTATATTTCTTCCCACACTTGATGAAGAAGAAAACAGGTGCAGATTAAGTAATTACCCAAGATTAAGCTACCCGAAGACAGAACCATGACTCCAGCCCAGGTCTGTCTAATTCTAAGTCATCACACCCTTTATTACAAGCCTGTGATTAATTCACACATTTACCAATCACAACAAATGCAGAAAACATGATTTCTGATAAATCAAGCCACATAGATTTCATGGTCGTATTATTTATCAAGGTTAATAACTTATAACACCATTACTGAAATTTTCATGGTCCTTAAACTCTTTCAATGACTTTTTTTAAATGAAAGAATTGAGTTTTCCTTGCAGTCAGGTCATCCATGCTTCAGGTATAGATCACTACTCCCTGGGCTAAATTTCTGAGACATGCAGAAGTGGAAGAAGGTGGAAGGAGGTAGGAAGAAAAGGATGCCCAGATCTATCTACTAAATGATGCTTAAAGCTCCTCACCCTCATCACTGAAATGAAGAGTGAAGGGCTGATGTTAATACTAACAGCTAATCAGATGGCAGTAGGTCATGTTCCCCAGCATCTCCCATTTTACCCTTTGAGACTGTAGCTCAGTTAGGGCCAGCAAATTTGGTTTGCCTATTCCAGTCCACTTTCTAGGGCAGAACCAACACCTTGATGGACTTTCTACTGGGACTGGGAGGATTTACCAATTTTTAAAAATTAAAAAGTTTTCTGTCTCTCTCTCACTTTCTCTTTCTCTCTTGCTTTTTTTTTATTCATAGCCCAGCGACATGTCCTCACGTACATGGAGGATGCAGTGTGCCAGCTGTTAGAGAACAAGGAAGATATTAGCCAATATGGCATTGCCAGGTTCTTCACTGAATAGTAAGTACATGAGGGCTTTGCCAATAGGGCAGGGCTGGAGGCGGCTTTTGGAAGCAGATGCGATAATGAAGAGCAGAGCAGGGCAATGCTGACTATGCAGTGGCAGTGAATGCTTAGTTTTGGTAGATGGGTTGAGGGATGCGCACACTTGTTTTGGACCATGCCTTTGGTGCAGCTAGTTCTGTGCAATGATAAGTCTCATGAGTGGTCGTAATTACAGAAGCTTAATAACTGCTTGTTTGATCGATTAGGTCCGTTTTTGCAGGTTCCGCTAACAATCTAACTTTCCCCATTTTTCAGATGATTTACTCTGATTTCCCTTAGTCAGCATCCCTTCAGCCTGTGTTTTTTTTTCTTTGCTGGCTTTTTTCATGGAAATTCTTCAGATGGGTTTTCCTCTGCAGTTTTCTTTCTGCAGGTTGCTGTGTCAGTCACTTAACTATTTAAGATTATTTCTAGAGGCAGGACATCTTTCATATATTATATCTTTGAGGGATCATGTTTCTCTATAAAATATGCTTGGAGTGTGTAGAATTCAAAATGATTACTATTATTAATTTATTAAAAATTTTTTCTCAAGTTTTATTGAGATATAATTGATGTACAGCACTGTATAAGTTTAAGGCGTACAACCTAATGATTTGATTTACGCACATCATGGCGTGATCTCACAATAAGTTTAGTGACCATCCGTCATCTCATATAGACACAAAATTAAAGAAATAGAGGATTTTTTTTCTTGTGGTAAGAACTCTTAAGATTTACTCTTTTACAAAAATCCAAAAATGACAAATGCTGGAGAGGCTGTGGAGAAAGGGGAACCC